GCTTCTCCCTCTCCCAACTTCCCTGCTTGTGTTCCCTCTCTTGCTATGTCTCTCTCTGTCAAATAAATAAATAAAATCTTTAAAAAAAAAAAAAAAGAAAAACAGTATGAAAGTTCTTCAAAATATTTAAAACAGAATTCCATATAATCCAGCAATATCACTGCCGGGTATATATCCAAAAAAGGGGTGCCTAGCTGGCTCATCCAGTAGGGTGTGCAACTCTTGATCTCGAGCTCCACATTGAGGTGTAGAGATTACTTAAAAATCTTAAAAAAAAAGAGAAAAAAATTGAAGGCAAGATCTAGAAAAGATGAACATCCATGATTATAAGCAGCATTGTTCCCAAGAGCCCAAAAGTGGAAGCAATCCAAATGTCCATCAACAGATAATGGATAACAAAATGTGATATATATACATGATGTATTATTAATCAGCCTTAAAAAGGAATGGAATTTTGATATAAACTACATTACGTAAAGTCAAGGAAGACAGTTGCAAAAAGACAAAACTGTGTGATTTTACTTACATGAGCAATCTAGAGTAGTCAAACTTATAGAAACAGAAAGTGAAATGGTGGTTGCCAGGGTTGGTGGAAGGAGAAATGGGGAATTATTGTTTAATGGGTAGAGAGTTTCAGATTTGCAAGATGAAAAAGTTCTGGGGCCTAGTATACAATGTGAATATATTTAACACTACTGAACTATAAGCTTAAAAATGGTTAAGAAATTTTATATAATGTGTATTTTACTACACTTAAAAAAAAAATGGGGGCTCTAGGTAGCTCAGTCGGTTAAGCATCTGCCTTCAGCTCAGGTCATGATCCCAGGGTCCTGGGATCGAGCCCCACATTGGGCTCCTTGTTCAGTAGGGAGCCTGCTTGTCCCTCTCCCTCTGCCTGCCACTCCCCCTGCTTGTGCTCTCTCTCTGTCAAATAAAATCTTAAGAAAAATTTTTTTTAAGTTTTCTGTTGTCTATAAAAGAGACACACTGGGGTGCCTGGGTGGCTCACTCGGTTAAGCGTCTGCCTTAGGCTCAGGTCATGACCCCAGGGTCCTGGGATTAAGCCCTGCATCGGGCTCCCTGCGGCAGGGAACCTGCTTCTCTCTCTCACTCTCCCTCTGTGCGCTCTCTCTCAAATAAATAAATAAAACCTTAAAAAAAAAAAAAAAAAGGAGACACACTGTTGCATTTCTTAAAAAGCTTCTCACTAGGGGCGCCTAGGTGGCTCAGTCGGTTGAGTGTCCAACTCTTGATTTCAGCTCAGGTCATGATCTCAGGGTTGTGAGACCGAGCACCGTGTCAGGCTCCGCACTCAGTGGGGAGTCTGCTTCTCTCCTCCCTGTCCCTCTGCCCCTCCCCCCATGTGCTCTTTCTAATAAAAGAAAAAGAAAAAAAAGCTTCTCACTAATGAACTACACTGAGCTTAAATAACCTCAACAGGTCTATATTTTCTATTTCTCATAATAAAAGTGTAAAAAAAAAAACAGCATATTAGATACTACCTGGAAGCTCATTTAGGCTGACTTCCAAACTATCAAATTTAGAACACAGCTTTTATAATATAGGAAATGTATCAGAACAATTCTTTATCAATGGCCTATATACACCTGCAGCAAACCAAGGGAAGAGAGGCCGGCAGGCATCTAGCAGTTCTACTCCTTTCATGAGAGGCTCTCATAAAAGGAGGCAATCAAGAATTAGAAGGGTCTTTCAAAACAGTGATACCCATACCATGCCAGAAGAAAAATAAGTATTCACCTAAAACAAAAAAGAAACTTTCAATAGTGTAATTAAAATAATATATGGTAGGGGCGCCTGGGTGGCTCAGTCGGTTGAGCATCTGCCTTCAGCTCAGGTCATGATCCCGGGGTCTTGGAATCAAGCCCCGAGTCCTGCTCCCTGCTCAGCAGGGAGCCTGCTTCTCCCTCTCCCATTCCCCTGCTTGTACTCTGTCAAATAAATAAAATCTTTAAAAAATAAAATAACATAGAGCAACATCTACGAAATACTTGAAGAAAGAAATTGAGGGCATACTTGTCCTTTTCATTTTCTTCATGTTTGGTGAGACTGCAGAGTTGAAGAGTATCAAGCTGCTGTGTTACTTCCTCTGCCCAACGACAGTTTACTAGTTCTCGTAGCTGGAGTGGAGCACTGGGAAAAAAAAAAATATGTACATATATTCTGATTCAGGAATTTGAGACTATTTTTTAATATAAACACATTCCAAAGGTAATCATGCGAGATGATGAGTGTGTTAATTAAATCAACAGAGGGAAACTTTTCACAATGTATACATATAAAAAATCATCACATTGTACACTTTAAATATCTTACAATTTTATTTGCCGACTATACCTCAAAATACTAAAAACACAATTACCATATAATCCAGCAATACCATTTCTGGGTATATATCCAAAAAAACTGAAGGCAGGTCTAGAAAAGATGAACACCCATGATCACAGCAGCATTATTCACAATAAGCCCAAAAGTGGAAGCAATCAAAATGTCCATCAACAGATGAATGGATAAACAAAATGTGATACATGTACATGATGGAATATTAACCAACCTTAACAAGGAATGAAACTCTGACATATGCTACAACATGCATAAACCTTAAGGACATTACACAGAGTGAAAGAGGATAGTCGTAAAAAAAGAAATTATCAAACACATTCCTCAAAATAGAGCTAACAATCATACTCATACCATATTATTATTAAAATAAAACAGACTCAATGAAAAGTATGGTTTGCAACTTATTTTTACCTTAATAGGTCATTTACAAAAAAAAAAATTCAGATTACAGACTGAATTCTAAATTCCTCAGTCTAAAAAAAAAAAAAAAATTCCTCAGTCTAAAATTATACTGTCCAAAATGAGAGCCACCAGTCACATGTGACTATTTAAAATTCAAATTAATTAAAATTAAATAAGAATAAAATTTCATTATAGTCACACTAGACAAATTTCAAGTGCTCAATTGCCACATGTACCTAGTGGAATTGGACAGCAAAGCTATAGACATTTCCATCATTATGGAAAGTTCTATTTGATAGTCCTGGTTTTCTTAAAAGTTAGTATGAAAAAAGTAAACAATACATGATGAAAATGGGCAATCAAATGAGGTGAAGAGGTAGTGTAAGCAAAAAAGAAATATAAGTAGCTAAATGCTTCAAAAGATGCTCAGTTTCAATCATTTTTTTAAAAAGCATATTAAAAACAAGATGCCTTTTTTCATTTAATGGAATGACAAAAAAAGACTTATAATAATCAGTATTGGCAAGAATGTGAGAAAAAGGCAATTTTGTATCTATTATTAGGAATGTAAAATGGTAAAAACCTTTCTTTCAATGTAATCTGTCATAATTATATGAAAAAACCAAAAGTGGAAACCACCTAAATGTCTCTGAATATAAGCATAAATAAATCAACATACAGTTATAGATTATTCACACTTCCTTAAAAATGACACGTATACATATCAAAGTCCCACCATATTTTACATGAAAAAAAAATCCAAAATAGTATATCATTTGCGTGTTTTAAGAAAAAAATTTATATGTATACATATCAGTATACTCCTAGAAAAATGTCTAGAAGAATAGATATGAAATCTAACCATTTCTTTTGAAAGTGTTATTTAATGAAAAGATCAGGCAGGGAGTATCAGAAATAGAAGACTTTTTATTTTATTTATCTGTATTAATTAGAAAACTTTTCAATTTTAGGGGCGGCTGGGTAGCTTAGTCGGTTAAGCATCCGACTCTTGATTTCGGCTCAGGTCATGATCTCAGGGTCATGGGTAGAGCCTGCTTAAGATTCTCTCTCCCTCCCTCTATCCGCCCCCCCCACACCCACTCATGCAGGTTCATGCTCTCAAATAAATCTTTAAAAAAAAATTCTTTCCTTATCTCCTTCTGCTCCTCCCCCTCCCTCTCTAAAAAAAAAATAGAAAACTTTTCAATTATAAAAAGTTGTTACACAACGCTACTCTAGTAAACAGTGTAATCCATTCTGCATAATTCTGAGTCAGATAAATTAGTTTGCATTTCTTTATCTGGACAGGTTATTTTCTTTTCAACTGTATTCACAAAGAGAAGAAATGTGGTAGGATGCAGAAAAACTGAATATTACGGCATACTCTAATCCCATCACCTTACTATTTTCCAAATTCACCAATAATCATAGCAAAGCACTTACCGGCAATGAGGGCATTGAGCTCTCTGCTCTGTCAGCCAGCGCTAAGGAGGCAAAAAATTAGATTTTGATTACAGAAACATTAATTTGTACATACTGAATACTTACATACCAAATTTAATGAGTTTAACTCTGTAGTGCCTGAATTAATTATAAAGGTACTTATAGAAATAGCAAGCAATCAATCTACTGTCTCCTCATTATCATCATGACGGGGACAAATTTTCAAAGGGACAGAACTCATTCCAAAATAGTTAAGAAGCTATTTTCTCATAGGAAAGAAAGTGATCCTGAGACTATCTGGATCCCACAAGGAAGATGTTAATAATCTTCACAAAAACAATGATACAGTAACCACCACTCTAAAAATAAACCAGTGATGATTAACTTCTAACTAACCTCTCATAAAATCCCTGAGAAAGTCTAAGGTGCTATTAAACTCCTTTCTGAAAAGTAAACTAATTTTGAAGAATATATAATATGGGTATATAAATTAGACCTAAAATTTTTATATTTTAGAGTTCTATAGTTCAGTAATATAATATCTGCATAATTTGGTTTCTTCACAATTTAGAAAGCTTTTGTAAGAGAACAATATCTCTACTAAACTTCAAATTTTATTAATTTAATCATTTTAATTAATTACTGGAGAGGGAACAGTTTTATATCATATACAAAGGAGACACTAAGATTTTCTGAATACCTTTCCAAAAACAATAGCTTCCTGGTTAAATATTAAATGTTTTAATTGACTAGTAAATGTTTCAAGGTAAGTAAGTAACTATAATCCCATACCTATGTACTGCCCATGGCTGTTATTTCTATTTATCCCTTTCTACTTCTATAAAAGAACATAAGCTTTTAAAGTCAAATAATTAACTCAGAAATGAAACTCCCAAGGAAACCTTAAAGGATTATAAAAGATAAAACATAATAAAGAAAAGGGTACTTTACAGTAAAGAATATAAAGCTGGAAGAAAAAGAAAATAAACACAAAAGGATTTCTCTCTTCTTAATAACCTTGAAGATAATTTCTTTGGTCCCTCAGCAAACATAAGATTTGGGTCAGGTTTTGTACTCTCAAACAATGCTCAGCTAAATCCACGGTACTCTTTTAGGGCTGGTTTCAGCCCACACCCCTCTAGTCTCATCTTCTACCTCACTCTAGGGGACCCAACAAGGTTAAGCTTTTAGGTATATTTCCTCTCTCTGCCCAGGATATTCTTCAACACCTCTCTTCAACTATATTATTCCTACTCATCCTTTAGATTTCAGTTTATACGTCACTGCCTCCAGAAAGCTTGCCCTGACTCTCTACAGATTACCATAGCAACCTGTACTTCTCCCTTCACTGTCCTTTAACACTTTATTACACCGACTTATTTGTTGGGTTTCCTTTGCCCTGCTACACTATAAGCTCTATAAAAGTTGGGGCTGGGGCACCTGGGTGGCTCAGTCAGTTAAGCATCCAACTCTTGATTTCAGCTCAGGTCATGATCTCAGGGTTGTGAGATGGAGTCCCATGTCAGGCTCTGCACTCAGTGTGGTGTCTGCTTGAGATTCTCCCCTTTCCTCTCCTTCTGCCCCTCCCCAACCGCCTGTATGTGAGCACTCTCTAAAATAAATAAAATCTTGGGCGCCTGGGTGGCTCAGTTGGTTAAGCGACTGCCTTCGGCTCAGGTCATGATCCTGGAGTCCCTGGATCG